AAAAAAAAAAAAAAAAAAAAAAAACACCGCACAGACAAAATGGTAGGTAAAAATATAATCGACTGCATGCAAAGCAATGATAGATGGGGGAACAGATGAGAACAAAATGGTAACACTTGGCTTGATGATGAACGCAGCATTCAACTACAATTGGAAAGAATGAAACAAACATTTCTTCATCCATGGTGAACAACCAATCAAATCAATATCATTAGAGGGTACTAAGGGAGAGGAAAGTGTCATAAGGCATAACCAAATTCTAGTCCTGAGCAACCAAATATAACCTAACCTAAAGGATAGCTAAGAACTACGATCATACACCGAGTAAAAATGAGGAACATATGCAGTGAAAATAAATCAGATCGTTGACGTTGTGGTTTTGGTCAAATACAGACCATGGTATCCTTTAACACAAAATCATTGTTCACACAACAATCCATGTGTGTTTACCACTCTGATACATCTGAAAAAGTACCGCTGCCACCTAGAATTGGAAATCTTAGAGGAGAAACTGTACTTTACCACTGGATCATCCTCTTTTCTAAGCAGAACAGCAACCAACCTTTTTCACAGCTGACACGTCATCCTTGGTGCCAACATTAATGGTTTGTCCCTTGGGCAAAGCCGCAGGGTCATCACCAACGTCAAGAGCTTTCCGGCTTACAACACGATATATCTGAGTAAGCACTTCGGTGAAGGCATTTTCCACATTCATGGACTCCAGAGCAGATGTTTCCATAAAAAAAGTGCTCTCCCTCTCAGCAAATGCCTTGGCATCCTCGGTGGAAACAGCACGCAAGTGACGTAAATCTGCCTTGTTTCCAACAAGCATGATCACAATGTTTGAATCTGTATGATCTCGGAGCTCCTTCAACCATCTCTCAACATTCTCAAATGTGACATGTCGAGTAACATCATACACAAGCAATGCGCCAACAGCTCCTCGGTAGTATGCACTTGTGATTGCACGGTATCTTTAACAGAAAATACAAAATGAGAGCAAAGAATCATTCTTCATGGAACATAGTCCAAACAGGACGCTACTTTGTGCAATAATTTATACAACGTTACAGGTAACAGTGGAACAGATGTTTTTATTATGCAAGAAAGCTACATGGAGTATCAGAAATCATTGATGACGTAGCAGCAATTCATAAGTAAGCCAGAGAAAAAAAACAGCTTTAACAATGGCAAGAGTGCAGAAGCAGAACAAGAAATATATGAATTTAAAACTAGAAACCAATGCGATCAGAACTTTCCATTATAATAATAAAGAACTAAATCAGATCTTCAATTTCAGATGAAAACCTACATACAATAACGGTTTCATGTTTTATAACTGTCTTCCTGACAGGGTTGAGGGATACAACATCTAATTCCTCAAACACATTTCTGTTATGCCAATAGAATTAAAAGATAAAAGTCTCCAATCAATGTAATTGCGGGACGCTAGAGTCTCAATTAGCATTCCAAGTTTGCTTCCAATTCCACTAACTAGTTGATGTTTTGGAACAGTATTTTTAACATTACAAGTTCTCTTTTTCTCACTCACGGCTCCCAAAGCCAACACGGTGTAAAGCAAGACAAACAAATGCTGACAGAAACAAAATAGATATTACTATATAGATTTCTGAAAACATAATTATAGTGCTTGGACAATAAGAACTGCATAAAGAATTCACTTTATTTTGAAGTACTTTTTGTGTTGTTCCCTTCTCATGATTAACTAACCAAACTTCTAGCATTCTCCATCATGGCTGTGTTGTACACAATTTAGCCCCTTTCGTAACGAGACAATATACGTTCTGTATAATCTCCAATTTCACTTAACTCGTGGTTGACTCGAAGATGTCTGGGACTACTCCACGAAGTGGCGATATGACCTGAATCTCCAAATAGAGGCAGGCCATGTAACATATGAGGTTGAGCTTGTCTAACCAATTAAATAGATTGGGTTTTTTCATTTTAAGACAAAATCTATCTATGGTCAATACCAATAGCTCAGCCTGAACTTATGCAAGGAATTAGGGTCTTGGACAAATCTTCCCCCAAATTCCATTTCTGAGGCCTGAATTCCCCGCATCCAAACATAACATTACTTCCATCATTCTGCATGTAATATACAGAGGGTAACGTTTATTATGAATGTATTCCTTTTTCTTGCTAAGAACATCTAGCCTAGAAATTCATATTTGTGCCAGATTTTTCATCATACAGAACCTAAGAAAATAGAAGACTGCAATAATCCAGGCCTAATATGAGCACTCTTTTTCATATAGAAATCAACGATACTTTTACAGCCACCTGCAAAACTTCAGATCTGCTATCAACCCAAATCTCAAAAAAAAAAAAAAAAAGTAACGCTATGCATTATGCATTCCATAACAATCCTCTATAATACACAGATCTCGAATTTCAAACCAACACATAGAATTCCGCGAAAAATATATATGTATACATAAAGAAAAATAAAAAATGAGGAGTAGATCGTTACCGTTCTTGACCAGCTGTGTCCCAAATCTGAGCCTTGACGACCTTGTCGTCGACGCGAATGCTGCGAGTGGCGAATTCGACTCCAATTGTGGATTTGGACTCGAGGCTGAACTCGTTTCTCGTGAATCTGGAGAGAAGGTTGGATTTTCCGACACCTGAGTCACCGATCAGAACCACCTTGAACAAGTAGTCGTAATCATCGTCCGCTCTATACGCCCCCATTTCTAAATGTATCTATCGAAACTGTGTATGCCAGAGAGAGAGATCTAACGGGATGAATCTTCTACCCTACAGATCTCAGAATGTGAGAGAGAGAGAGAGAGAGAGAGAGAGAGACAGAGAGAGAGAGCGGCCCGTTATATGAAGAGATGGAAAGATTTGAGAAGAGGGAGATGCATTCAAATATCATATTTTTAATTTCTTCTTTGCTAAGATTAAACATAAGAGAAATTATATTTTGTGCCCTAAACGATTTAAGAATTCTTATTTTATACTCTTAAGATTAATTTTTTTATAATATACTCTCAATATTTTATAAATATTCTAATATGACCCTTCCATTAACTTCTGTTACATATTCTGTCAAAAATTACCCCATTTGAAACTGACGAAATAAACAACAAACTGACCGTATTATATTACTTTTAATATATTGAGAGTATAATATTTAATTTTTTAATTTTTAAGAAATTAAATAAAATTTCATAAATCCTTCACAGTACAAAGTGCAATTTTTTCCCTAGACATTATTTTTTTTAACACGCATTAATGAAAGTATTAAAAAGAAGAGGCATGTCGCACTTGGACCCCAAAACCATGCTTCTATTTCTTAATGTTCCTTTCCTAAACTATCTGCTTTCTATCGCTACACCTTCAAGTTTGGTGTGAGTTTTATATTTCTAAGATCTTTAATTTTTTATCTAATTCTATAACATAAAATAAGACAGATTTTAGTAAATTCACCTAACGGTATTAAATATATTCATTCAACGGTCACTAATATCTCTCTCAAAACTATTCACATTATACCGTACATTCAGATACGAGTTGTCCTTAATTTTTAACAATAAATTATGACAAAACAAAATTTTACAATATTAGGAGATATGATCTTTCGCTTCTCTTGATTTGTTGCGAAGAAATTGAATAGAAACTAATGACGGGGGTAGTGCAAAACGAAAACCAATAATTTAAATTATAGTTTGAAAAATGGGTAGTTAAGTGTAAAATGTGGGGGTATAATTTAGTAGATCTAAATAGTCTAATACAAAAGATGAGAAACAACTAAGAACCCCGTTGGAAAATTATAGTGAATTAGTAAAATGGTAATGATGGCTATAAGCCTAATGGAAAACGAAGAGAAAAGTACAAAGTAGACGAAAATTCTACGGCCGCCTTCGGTCAGTGCATTCCCATTAGCAATTGACTAATCCATATGATTTTCTCCTTTCTCTCGTTCTCTATTTTTTTCTCATTTTTTATTATTTTTTTTCTCATTTTTTTTTAAAAAAATTGACTATTAATCAACACGAGTTCGAAAAAGCATGATCCAATCATGTCAAGATCATCTGACATCACTTACCGGAAAAATAAAATCAATTGATATCAATAATATTTTGTCCTCAGTTTCAACATTTATGGTCTCAAAGTAATTTGTTTTCCTTTGAGAGGCCACTATACAAATATTGAAAGGACATATATTCTCAATATCCTCACCACAAGGAATGGAAGAGGATTTTAAAAATTTTAGGAGACATCGTTGGTAGCGAAGAATCGTCTGCTTCCGTTTAATTCATGTGATGAACCAAACATCATGAGGTTCATCCAAACCCTTTCTAACGATTGAATTAGGGTTCATACCAGTATTAAATTTCTTCAAATTTTGAATAATAGGTCATATACTGCGTTGTTATGAATTTTGTTATTAATTTTTGGCTGATTGATGTTTTTTCCTGCCTTTTCTCAAGCCTAGTTAGCATCTTGCGATTATTATTGGCCACTTATCGAACCTCGGTCTATGATTATTCATCTCTATAGTCCTTTTTCTTATAGTGGTACAATTGACGAGCCGAAATCAAGTTCCTCCCTTATTGAGAATTTATATGACTTTGTTTGTCTCTATCTTTAATGATCACTTATCATAATCCCTTGATGAATTTATATTCTAAGTGTATTAAAAAAAATATTATTTTCGCCAAGCATATATATAAATAATATAGAGCAAAAAGATCCACCCAAAAACTAACAGCTATTAACTAACAGCCGAGTCCTTGCTCTATGAGAGACCCGTTTTAGGTAAGTTTGGATCACTTAGATACTTAAAAATAAGGTATTCTACTTAGGTTCGTATATTGATCTAGAATTGAAAATTTAATATGGGACAATGTGAGTCCCACTGGGTTCTACTCATGCTTACTTCTGCTCTATTTAGTGTTACAAGATATCTGATATACGTATATTGTGGACCAATTATATTATATATACAACTTAATTACAACTTTTTATAATCAAGTTCATGTCTAGTAAGTTTCTCCTCTCGCATGTAATCAAATTTATATATTAAGATTTTTTTGATTTATTTATTAACAGAGTTTGACAGTTCAATCCAACTATAACTCATAATAACTTACTAGTGCCCCCATTGAATTAGCTAGCCGGGCTAAGAATTATTAGCCCTAGTTAGTCAACTATATAATTCATTATTGCATTTAATTAAGAATCATTACCTAAATATTAGTCTCCTCAACTATACCCATATCTCAAGTTGNATAATTCATTATTGCATTTAATTAAGAATCATTACCTAAATATTAGTCTCCTCAACTATGCCCATATCTCAAGTTGCCCCCCACCAACTATCATATTTTTCATATTACACTTCCAATCATGTTTATCGATCTCACCATGCCCCCTCGACTATATTGCATTTTCATATTACACCACTTATTATGATTATTAGTTTCACATTGACCCAATCTTAAACATTAGAAAACTTGTATTTATCACGCATGGGGACATTTTATGTCCAAATGTTTAGTGAACGTGAGGCAATAATCACAATCGAAGGGGCCAAGTATAATTTGCTATATTCTTTCCGACTTTTCCTTGAAAGTGTACTGAACACGCAATGAATTGTCTAACTACCTGATTGCTTCAAGGAAGAGCATCTCTAATAAATTTTTTATCCTTACTCAATCCTCTATTTTAAAAATTTTAATTTTTAAAAACCTATCTCAAATGAGCTCTTTATTTAAGCCAGCTAAAATAAAATTTAATTTAACTCTATATTTCGAGAGTTAAACTCGCTCTCTATTTGATCATTAATTAATGATAAAATGACATCTATATCTTTTTCATTAAATAAACGATTATTCTCCTGTTAGAATAGAAAATTTATTGAAATTGTCTAAAATAATTTTCTCTCGATTTCAAATTTTTATAAAAGATGCTCTATATCATAAAAGATTCTCTCAAAAATAAAGAGTTACAAGCCCAAATCTAAATCAGGCATAAACTTTGTTCATGGTTGAGCTCAAAACATCTAAAGGTAAATCAAGCTTAGTTCTTGACTTCAGTCCAGTCCAAAGTTCAAGAGTCTTAAAAAAGTCAACGCACGTGAAAGAACAATCATCGAAATAATCATTACTCCAAGATAATATTTATCCCCAATTGTAACTATCCTCCCTAACAAATTAATAACTTAATCGTAACATCACCGCCTCAATCAGAACTCTGTGCCTATAAATTATAAACCACACCCCACATAAGGGCAAATCTTACATACCTCACCTCGAACATACTCTTGCTCTCCCTATCTCCCCCCTATTACTTTGTACTCTCATTAATAGAGTTCTTCAACTACCATTGCCACCTTCAATAATTATGTCACTCATATCCAACCACTCAATTTTTATCTCTTATTATTAATTACTTCATTAATTATTCTACACCACACACTCGATTGATTTGATCGTACATAATCAATTTTGTGCATCATCAAAGAGTACTATTGGAGATGCTCTCACAAATGAAATAATTGCATATAAACCAATAAGATGATAATGAACTCCAGTAAAAAAAATTGAGGTTTTTTTCCCTCAAGAAAAGAAAAAAATGCTTGGATTGAGCATTTGAGTAGCCACTATATGCATGGTTATACAAAGGTTAAATCCGTATATTAGCCCATCTCTTCCAACACTCAACTAACAGACATAAAAAGAAAAAGGGCATGTTGAGAAAACTTAGAAGAATGAGAGCTGGCGCCGTTAACATACAGCAGAATCAGTATTAGTAAAGGCCATAAAAAATGAATTGTGACAAACAAACTGTCAAAACTGAAGCTGAAAGTGTCATTGCCATCCATCCACATTGCTGCGCCCACTGTCTGAGTGTCTTCATGGTGTATTGCACAGCCTACATAAAGACTTGTGTCCCTAAATTACTACTTACATAAATAAGGTGATTCCAACCATTGACCAAGTGATACCCATTCAATTCTATTGCTCCCTTGCTGGTTGTGAACATATAAACCATGATCAATTCATCTGTAGGGAACGCCTTAAATAAGACAAATCAACACAATTGGTATGAACTTTGGTGCAAATTATGTATCAATAATAATATTTTCTTATTGCCATCATTTTTTAATGGTACAACATTAGGGTTTCTTTCTGAAAGAATAAATTATACATTTCTCATGATATATAACCTGAATTGAGGTGACTTGTAGTTAAGAATTGTTCACCGTAGTAAACTGTTCTCAGAGACTCAAAAAATCAGGAATAAGGCTTCAAAATTGTACCAAGACAAAGGCTTCAATCCTTAGGCTTATTTCTCATCGTTTTACGCTTGCCAGCATCCAGGTATCTCTTTCTTAATCGAATCGCTTTTGGCGTAACCTGCATAACCAGTACAAGATACCATCACATTAAATGATTTCATAGTCAGCCCTAGCAAAAAGAGATCTCGAGAATGGTTTAAAAAAAACTCCCAAGACTTCGTGAAAAGTGGACATATTCCCATTCTCGGAATGGGTGAAGAATTAAAAAAATATTCAGTCCTATCCGTGAACAACACAAACATTAAAATTAAGAAATTCATCAGATTATACATGCTCAATCAAATGAGCCTTGTAGTATGTGATTTCTAAGTATAAAAGGGATCTTGTTATTTTTATCAAAAGTACAAAAATCAAAGTTCAAGGAGCATACCTCAATGAGCTCATCAGAGGCAACATACCCTATTGCTTCTTCAAGAGTCATCTGTACCGAAAATCCATTTAGATGTTAAATAATCACAAACAAATTGTAAGACTTTATTTCTTCACTTTACTGTATTACCTAACAAGGGCTAATTACAGTTGTCCTTTGGGGGGTTATCCAATGGGGAAAAACTTATAATCCCATAGCTTAACCATGGCTGTGATGTTGCCAAAACAAACAAAAAACCGATTCGCAAAGGGACAGACAAATAGCAAAACACACATTAAAGGAAGCAAAAATCTCACATTACATCTCCAAACTATTCAGTTATGAAATTTGGAAGTATAGACAATTCTCCTAACAGGACCATCTACCGAAANAATTGAGGTGACTTGTAGTTAAGAATTGTTCACCGTAGTAAACTGTTCTCAGAGACTCAAAAAATCAGGAATAAGGCTTCAAAATTGTACCAAGACAAAGGCTTCAATCCTTAGGCTTATTTCTCATCGTTTTACGCTTGCCAGCATCCAGGTATCTCTTTCTTAATCGAATCGCTTTTGGCGTAACCTGCATAACCAGTACAAGATACCATCACATTAAATGATTTCATAGTCAGCCCTAGCAAAAAGAGATCTCGAGAATGGTTTAAAAAAAACTCCCAAGACTTCGTGAAAAGTGGACATATTCCCATTCTCGGAATGGGTGAAGAATTAAAAAAATATTCAGTCCTATCCGTGAACAACACAAACATTAAAATTAAGAAATTCATCAGATTATACATGCTCAATCAAATGAGCCTTGTAGTATGTGATTTCTAAGTATAAAAGGGATCTTGTTATTTTTATCAAAAGTACAAAAATCAAAGTTCAAGGAGCATACCTCAATGAGCTCATCAGAGGCAACATACCCTATTGCTTCTTCAAGAGTCATCTGTACCGAAAATCCATTTAGATGTTAAATAATCACAAACAAATTGTAAGACTTTATTTCTTCACTTTACTGTATTACCTAACAAGGGCTAATTACAGTTGTCCTTTGGGGGGTTATCCAATGGGGAAAAACTTATAATCCCATAGCTTAACCATGGCTGTGATGTTGCCAAAACAAACAAAAAACCGATTCGCAAAGGGACAGACAAATAGCAAAACACACATTAAAGGAAGCAAAAATCTCACATTACATCTCCAAACTATTCAGTTATGAAATTTGGAAGTATAGACAATTCTCCTAACAGGACCATCTACCGAAAGGCCCTGCACTTTCTATATTGTTTCTCTTTACCACTGGTACATGAGAAGCTATTCTTCAGATAAAACCTACGGAAAACAGCACCTTATTGCAAAAACCATTTAATTGCAGAAATAGAACAATAAGTAAGAAGCTGGACAAAGGATTCGTACAAGGCGAGGAGGAGATAGCTTCACATTCTCATCTTTGCCAGCAGAACGTATATTGGTAAGTTCCTTGGTCCTTACTGGGTTGACCTGAGACAAGAAACCACTGGAAGGTCAATTGCCCTGAAAAAACACAATGCATGATATATTAAGAGAAGAGTCAAAAGACAACTCTCTTACATCGAGATCTGTATCTCGTGAATGTTCACCAACAATCATACCATCATAGGTCTGCACATTGCCCAAAAAAGTCAGCCACAACCTTCAAATTAATGTATATTCTTTCCTAATTTGCATCAATACGTGTTTCCTTTTAATGATTTCATGATATAAAACACCTGTCCAGTCAATTCATAAAATCTAATGTTTGCAGCTCATGGATTCATGCAGTTGTCTAGCCATTAACTGCATTGACAAGTATTGCCATACCAAGCTCCAATGCACGGATGGAGATGACATGGAGCACCCATTACGAACTATGAACGTCAAGGAATTGATCGGACGGTTGTAGCAACAAAATTGAAATGCATTTAAGGTTGTCACCTAACAGTCAGGGCATCACTAGGATTTTGTGGCCCAGCATATCCAAAATTCATCCCCTAGTGAAGGCCAATCATGCACCACAACACAATCAAAAGGATTTTCAGGAAAAGTAACCATTTAGAAAAAGAACTGAGCAGGCTCGGGAAGACATAGGGAGGACTGGAACAGATTTTTTGTCCCAAAATTAGCAAAGCTGAAAGATAGAATC